TGTAATTAGCAATTATTTCTTTTCTTAAATGTTAATTTCTCATAATCATGTTAATCCCTCTGTTATATAACACGAGTTTTGAAAAATATTTTGATTGGCTTAAATAGTCTTAAAGGCAGGGCACATCCACACATTATGTCACACCTTTATCGATATTTTTGATCCCACTTCTTTTTGTCACAAAATGCCACATTTCCCCATGTCTCCATTGTGATATGCCACACTGTACATAAATAGTACTTGTAGTTAAGAAATTGCGCCCTGTATCATAAACCACATATCGAATTCAATTTTGCATTTACAACTGTACGTTTTAGTAACATTCGCGAGCATAATAATAATAATAATTGTATACCTTGTTGAAAAAATATAAAAATAAAAAACGATGAAAAAATATAAAAATAAAAAACGAAAATATTTAATACATCAATTTCAAAATGTGTGTTGTCACACTTCTAATTATCTCGCTCCACGACCTTGTCACAAATTACCATACCATGAACTCCTTCTTTCCCTTGCAAGCATGATATGATTTATGGATGGTCCCGTACGGCAAAACACGCACTGTTAGAATTTTCATTCTAAAATTACTGTAAAATAACTAGCAGCAAACTGCCCATTCAATTAACCATAAAATTTACGGTTAAGTGCATTTTTTTTCTTAATGGTTTCGAAACCATTTACAATTAGCTAGGTTTCAAAACCTCAAAACAGAAATTTAACCGGGCAGAATAAGGTGATGGTTATTTTGAATTGTGTTTGAATAAATGAACCATGGAATGGGGATTAATTAGTTTATCTGGCTGTTTCACCTATCATAGAGATGAGAAATCCTAGATTTTTTTGTGCTTTATTGTGCTGCCTTCTAATGCATGAGTGAAAGTTTCGTATTATTTCGTAATAACCGGGCTTACAAATTGGAGAATGCGGAACACTGGTAGCTCTACATGTGTTGAAGGGAATGGAGAAAATATTGTGATGTCAACGCTGAGACTCGAACCCCAGTGCTGTCGGTCATGAGATTCGCAGATCAGCCCTCACAGCCATAATATGTACCCAGCTGCAAGGAACTAAGTGGTTTCATTAGGTGGATCTAGTTGATGCGGATAAAATTCTGGTTTTTTAACCGTATTATGTGATAACAGTTAATAAATAGTTTTTCTCACAGTTAACAGTTTCAATACCATCTTTTTAAGGTTATTTGACTGTTTTGTTTGAATATCATAAAATAACAATAAAATAAATTGTTATTTAACCATTTTTCAGAGGCATTTCTAAAATAGTACAGAAAGCTAATTTAAAATTAAGGTATACCAGAGCTGATTGTGCTCCGGAAAAAATCCGGATTTCCGGGTCTTTCTCTAACCGTTATCCGGAAGTTTCCGGATATCGAAGGTTCAGACGTTTCAAAAAATCATTGATCACAAAAGTTGCCGGAAATCAAATTTTCAAAGGTGGAACTTAAAAACACAGTTTATTTTATTTGTTTTTAAGGGAGAGGCAGATACTTTATTAGCTTATATTCAAAGTTAATATTCATTTTTTATCAGTAAATAGTTATAATCATAAACTCAAGAAAGAAAGACATATTTGTAAATTTTAATTACTTCTCCAGGTCATCATAGATTTGTGTAAAATTTGAATTATATTTTAAGTAAACTAAGAAATATTGAGAAAAAGGAAAAAAAAACTTGTTTGCATTTTCTTTTTCTTTTGAACTCAAGAAATTTTCCGGAATTTTTACTTGGGCTCACAATCACCCCTGCGGTGTACACACTTTCGCTTGCAATCCTGACTAAATTATTGGGACCACATATTTTTCAAGTTGCTGTTACTTCAAACATTTTGAGTTATTTGAATTCGAATTCATCGAAAATTAACTATGTTTTTTAAGAAAAAGAGCTCTTTTTGAGTCTGATTTTTAAATAATCATCCGGTGAAATAAATTAACATATTTAAGAGGCTTTCTCCCTCTCTCTCCTGGTTTTTAAGTAAAAATTTCGATTTGTATTTTGTTGTTCGTTTTTTTGTGCTTAATAAGCTTTTGACGATAGAATATCATTCGACAGAACTATGCGTTTCAGAAAAGATTGAAAATATAGTGGTCTTTTTATAAAATTGGAAGAAATAATGATTGATAATTTGCATATAACTTCTGCGGAATTTTTTTCATTAATTTGACGCAGTGAAACTATGTTATTTTTTGGTTTTGAGTATACAGTTTAAAACTACATCTTTGGCAGCTCTTAGATTTTTAAAATTTTCATTTATTGCAAATTAAACAATGTTGCTAAAAATTTTTAGCACAAATTTTACGAAAACAAAGATATTTATGTAAAATCTAAAAGTAGTCCTATGTATAATACTAAACTACATTCTGAAATTATGCTAATAGCAGAATTGTACTGATGTAATTTTTATGTAATCATGAAATACTGAATAAAGATTCTATAATACCACACGCCTAATATCTCAAATTGTGATTAGGTGCCAGTCTTGCATTTGGCATGTTTTCACATGACCTGCATATTTCATGTTTCGTACCATAGCCAATGGCCCATTGTGCAGCTATAGTGTGGCGTAAAAAACCACAGGTTTCGAAATGAGCCAAATGAAATCGAGAAATTGTTCACCATCTGTTTGTTTGTGAAAATTAAATAGGTGGATTAACACACAAAATTGATCACTCATAATCATAGTATATTCCGTCTATTTCTACGATTATGAGAGAAATGGATAAAATTCTCAAATTGCTGGCTCAATAGTCTCTAAATAAAATAAATATTTCAATACTAACGCACTATTCCTCCATGCAAACACATCAACTAATCTTAACCCTTTTCCTGCGGCGCTTTGTATGATGAAGCCCACCATTCTGGTCCACCTTCTTATACCTGCCGTAATCTTACATTACAACCAACAGCCCAAACTTTTTCTTTTTTTACAGAATAGCACTCTATTGAAACATTAAAGCACTCTTTTTACGGAAAGAGCACTGTAACTGTCTTTGTGTCTCAAACTTTTCTTTTTTTCTTTCGAGAATGAATAGATGACGGTATTAATTTTCATGGATCTCGCAATAATATTTCTTCAATCTATTGAAGGTGCCTGATAGATAATTTTTTTTAAAATTGCAGACACCGAACTTTCTCGCCATGGAAGATGCCGGAAGTGAGCACCTTATGACCAAAGGCACGGAAGCGAGCAACATTATCCATGCCACAGATACTCGTTAGGATGGGCCATAATCACACATCCTACTCAACAGAAGGCAACACATCCATGCTCTGAGCGGGATTCGAACCCGCAGCTATTGGTTTCACAGTCAGGCACGCTAACCGCTAGGCAACTTGGCCGGCAAATGGATAGTGTGATGCTTAAAAGGTAAAGAGCAGTTCGAGGGAGAGAAAAAAATTAAACACAAAGATTTTTTCTCGCACTACAAGCTAACTTGGGTTTACAATTTAAAAAAAAAAAAAAGTTACTGAAAACCACTGAAACAAGCTGCTCTGCAGCAAATGAAACATTAAGACATTAAAATATTCCATTTACTTTATAAATTTAGAACGTTATTCTCTTTCCACATTCATATACTGTTTTCTCGGTTTAACAAGCATAATATTCCTTGAAATCATTACCCAGAATTAACAGTTTACTTTGAAAAATTAATATACAGGGTGTTTAGAATTTAATGCGCTTAATACATACGTATTTCCTTTAAAATAAGTATCTTAAGTTAAATAAGTTAAAGTTGAGATAAGTTTTCTTTAAAATAAGTAAATGAAGTAGAAGAAAAGTGTGTAGATTACTTTTTTACTACATTTTTGATGAGGACTATACACATCAAGAGTTGTTATCAGTAAACAATTTTTATATAACAGCTCAGAAGAAAAATAGTGCTGTTTCAGTGTAAAAGTTTTAATTAATTACATTCTTTTAATTTTACATTAATTGTTTGCTAATTTAGACCCTTTACCTTCTCGTATAAAGTGAATCTCGTTATAAAATGCCATGACGTAATCACTTATTTTACGCGTACAGTATGCACTAATGGAATATGCGCAACGTTTAAATGCCACACAACATAATAAGCGTTAAACAAGCGTTTTCTGAGGAAAAAAAATAGTGTTCATAGTCTTTCAATTAATATTAAATTGAACTGAAAACCTTTCGACACATATTTAAATAATTTCTTTTGCTCTTTATTAAAAACACTTTTAATATGCCACCATTTTAATAAATTTATTCAAAAAAGAAAAAAAAAAATACTCAAGCACATTGAAAGCTACATTAAGTTGGACATCAAACAGGAAAAAAAATCATTGTGAATCCATCTTAAGACTTCTATAGAGAAGTCTATGCTTAGAGTCTAGCGAGAAAGAGAATTCGCTATGTCTTAGAGTCTAGCGTTTGCTGCGCTAGCGCAGAATGGAGATTTTAAAAAGTCTAGTAAAAGCGCTTGCGCAGATGACGGAATGAGGTGAGACTTTGACGCTCATTGTTAAATCCTTGGTTTAACGGTTATAACAAGCTGGTTAGATGGTTAGATTCGAAACTTTATTCTATTAAATCACAATTTTGAATTCCTGCAAAATAAGTTAGTTGTTGACTAATGTTAATCTAAACATAAAGATATTATGATTCTTAGAATTTAGAAAAACAAACCACTAGAAAGAATATCGCAATTTTTTTTTACCCTTGATTCTGATTTGTTTGATCATACTAAGAAGTTTAATAAGCTCAAATATCTCTCATAAATTTATGATTTACTGAGCTTCATTTCATGGTATAAAAATTTTAACAGAATATCTATTAAATCCTCTCTAGTATTTTTAATCAAATATACAAATACATTCTCTCACTCATAAAATACCTTTTATTCACACAGAAGGGGAAATATATTCTAAGATAACTTTCAAAAAGAATTGTGAAATAAAAAAAAACACACACACACAATCAAACAACATTTTAATATTGATAACTTTTTATCAATCCTACCCAGCTGCTGAAATTCAGAACAAAAAGGATAAAAGATTTTGCAAAAAATATGTTACCATTCACAGACAATTCGTGATTTATACTTTATTAAAAAGGAACTTCAAGAGAGACAACATGAGAATTTACATAGTTCTAGCATTTTTTTGCTATTTAGCATTGGTAAGTACATTATTTATTTATGAGTGTACTTAATAGTATTTAAATTTTTTTAGACGTTCCTAATATTTTTTTTTCACTGAATGATCACTCTTTATTTCCAGGAAAGTTAACTACATAAAGTAACTGTCGAGAGTTATATTAAAATAGGCCAAAAAATGCTGTTTTATCGAAATTTAATGATTATGAGAGCTTGTCCAGTTGGTCCCCAAATCATTAAATTACGATAAGACAGCTTATACCGTACTTATTTTGAAAGCAATTCTTGACGTTAATCACTACCGTCTTTACGCATGGGGCACACCTGGGCAGTGCCCGGGGGCAAAGAGGCACTCAAAGGGCCCTTGATAATCTTAATTTTTATAAATTGCGTTTAAAACGCTAAGAGTAAACAACATTGCCTTATATATTTTTTAAAATAAATATAAAATATTATATGAAGTGGGAATTTTTCTTCTACAAATAGTGATTGATTATCATGTAAACACCAATAATTTGAATAGTTTGTCAACAAGAAAACTTAAAAAATTCTACCGAAATCTATTTTTTTAAATTCAAATAAAAATGTTAGGTACTTGGGCATTGAAAGATGCTTTAATAACTGTTTAGTTTGACAAAATATATCTTTTTTTTTTAACCTTTCATACCTTTTTTTAACCATATTCATACCTTTTTTTAACCATATTCATACCTTTTTTTACCTTTGAATTTATTTTAATTTGTTATACCCTTTTGTTTATTTAATTTATATAATTTTAATTAACTTCCATAATTTTGAAAATTATTTTATTACTTTTGGATTACAATTGATCAAGGTTTTTTTTTAAATTACACATAGTTTAAAAATGCTTTTTTTTGTTTAGCTTTTGGGGTAATAAAAATTTGCTTAAATTTTTTAAAATTATTGCATCATATGTTAAAAAAGATTTATTTTATGTATGTAAAATTTTTTTAGTTGTTTTTAAACATTATGATAGGTTATAAGGGTCTAAAATATTTATGTGCCCGGGGGCCCTGCATGCTATTAAGACTGCCCTGACATTAATTAATAGAAAGCAAAAGAAATTAAGATAATTTAGATAAATAAAAGTCCCTGATGTTCAATGACATGTTATGTAACATATCATAATAGGAATGCTCCCTTAGAGGTACGCGATAACATTTCCGGTTTTGATTTCATAGGTAATTCTTAATTTTCATAGTTTTCCCAAAAAGTTTGTTGCAGCATTTACGGGACACTCTGCAGATGGAGAATTATTTCGCGAATCCAAAGACGAGAGGAAGAAAAACGAAGAAAACTAGTTTATTCTGCTTCTTACTCTGTTACCTGATCCTAGAATTTAATTCATTTGGTTGCTAATACACACTCTATAACAAAAAAATCGACGCACCAAGAAGCAATCATCCGATTGCTTCTTGGTGCCAGATTACAGTGGTGCATGGCTCGATCAGGCTGGAATGATGCCGACTGGGGACATATAGTCTTCATCGACGAATCCTGCTTCCAACTGCGTCCTGACGATCATCGAAGACGTGTTTGGAGACGCACAGGGTGGAGGGGGGATCCTGCATTCACTATTGCACGGCCACACCGGCCCACAACAAGGCATTATGGTCTGGGGTACTATTTCCTTTGACAGCCGGACCCCTTTGGTCGTCATTAGAGGTACACTTACTGCACAGCGGTACGTCGACGACATCCTAAAACCTGTTTTGCTACCGTTCATTTTGCATTGCCCTGGGCTGGTTTTTCAGCAGGACTATGCCAGAACACATATGGCACGTGTTGCTATAAGCCTGTCTGCAAGCTTGCCAAACTCTTCCTTGGCCTGCCAGATCACCAGATCTCTCTCCCATCGAGCATGTCTGGGATATGATGAGAAGGCGAATGCATCTGGCACGGAATGTTGATGACCTCGTTCGACAATTGGATTGAATTTGGCAGGAAATTCCGCAAGAGATCATCCGGGAATTATAATCATTTACTATTCTGTACATTGTCTTCCTATCCACCAATTTTCGTTTCAATCGGACAACTCCTTCTTGGTGCGTCGATTTTTAGAGTGTACTTCTGATGGCTAAAGGGCTGAGGAAAATGTTAATTACATGCATTATAAAATTTCGTTTTTTGGTGCATTGAGGTTGTTTCCAAGTGAAAGGGGAAAAAATCATTTTTTCAGGAATGCCGTTACACAAAAATGTATGTTTCGTAGGCTAATTGGAATATCAGGCTCTCTTAAGAATATCGGGCCCTTTTTTTCAGGCTCTTCGTCAACTAATGTTAATCCTAAATGCTTCGACAATCTGGCTCAGTGGTTAAGGCTGATGAAATTACTGACCTTTTTTGCGAATAATTGCTATTTTTATAACTGCTGTGAGTTGGAGACACTTACTCATGACAGTTAGGCCAAGTTTAGCCTATCCAGCGTTGTTTTCGCACAGTTTGAAAATGGTTCAAAATATGGAGAAAAGTCGGAGTTTTGAGAAAATAAAAAGCATTTGTGGTCTAAATTTTAAATATTTAAAAACTTATTCCAATGCTGCATTATCTGGGCTCATAAAAATTAGCAAAAATTGAGAAGAAGGCAGAGATTTTGATAATTTTCCTCTAGGTGAAAAAATGTCTGAAAATGGCAATTTTTAAAAAATTGAAATAACCCTTAAAATATTTAAGTTATTTGTCTGTTCTAAAACCCAGATAATTCTTCACGGCTAGACTATATAGTTTAAAATCTTCGCCTAGATTCAAGTGTAAGGCACTTAAACTATGTTTTTTTTTAATTTTCTTTAGCGATAAAGCTTCCAAAAGCAGCGGTAAGGACTGAATTGTCGTTGTGATGGATTAGAGTTAGATTCTCAGTGGTGATTTTTTAGCCCCCCTTCCAAAATTTTGATTGTCGGCTATCTTTTGTCGTTTAGCCATTGTCAGGGAAGTAATCTGAAAAACTGCATAAAATCTTTTTATGTAATCTGAAACTATTTTCACTTTCAAAACTACAGATGTTTTTTTTTCTTTCAATGATATTTTCACTCTTTATCATTATCTTTCCAAGGTTTTGATTGTCGGCTATCTTTTGTCGTTTTGTCATTGTCTGGGAAGTAATCTGAAAAGTTGCATAAAACCTTTTTAAGTAATCTGAAACTAGTTTCACTTTCAAAACTACAGATGTTTTTTTCCTTTCAATGATATTTTCACTCTTTTTTTTTTGTCAAAATGTGCAAGTTTAAAAGTGTTATAAATGAAAGAAGGTCGCGTAAATGTTGCAGGAAGTTTCTAGGGGAGTTAGGACCCATCATCAGGAAAATTGCATGGTAATGCGTGAAAGTTCAGTCGTAGTGCCCTTAGTTTGGGCTGCTCAGAGAAACTCGTAACAACAGTTAACAATAGGGAAGCGCATTTAATGGCCTACTATGACATTTTTGGGTATAAGCTCTTATGAAAGTTTAATCCTGATAACAAGCCTTAACTCCCATAGAAGTTTGTCGCAACCCCTGTTTTAGATAACCTTTTTAAATTTGTACATTTTGACAAAAGACAGACAAAAAATGTCTTTAAGAAAACTGTAGCTTGGAGAAAGAAACCTATTGCTGATTTGAAATAAGTTATCTGAAAGTACCTGAGATTTTTTCCAAAAATCTCATATCATAAAAATCAAAAATATTGCTTCCCAGTATAATTCATAAAAAAGTAATATTTCATAATTCATAATAATGAAAACAGATGTTAAGCATTATAAACTATTAAGTAATGTTAATTAAAAGAAATTCCCACGTTTGAGAGAAAAAGAATTTAAAATAATTTTTAGTAAAAAAAAAAGAGTCAAAACTCCCTCGCATCCCAATAATTGATAAATATTAAGTGAAAATATGAAAAATAAGAGGGATTTTCAAATGATGATCAGAAAGAAACGATTAGAATAAATATTACATCTATATCGACTTGTAACTACAATGGAAAAGAAAGATGACGTAACCGACAGTTCAATACAAGTTTTCTATTTAAATTGTAAAAGCAATATTATCACACTATCAATAGGGAATTAAATTATTAGAATAAAACTATATCATAATCCATGGAGATTGTTAAAACAATGACAATAATGAAGTTACGAATTGATTATTAAAGATTTCTAATTAGAATTTTTTAAAACAATGTGATCATGCTATCAGCAAAGAATTACTATTGCAATATTGGAATGCAAGTTAGGGTCTTTTCTTAATCAATAGAAATCTTTAACAATATTAGCAAAAATGATGTAAGCAAGAGGCACAAAAAGATTTTTGGTTAAAAATCTTGAATGAATGTGATTATTCTATCTGCAAGAAATTAGAAATGCAATGTTTAAGTTAACACTTGGTCAATTGAAAACAACAATTAGAAGTTACTATCTGATCTCTATAGATTTTTCATTAAAACTTTTAAAGTAAAGTGATCACGCTTTATCATTATGGAATAATAGTGTTAATATTAAAATGAAATTACCCCTCAATTAAGAGAGAGTCCATATTATAATTAAAAAATTAAGTTGCCAATTAATTAATGAAGAATTTCAATTAGTTTTAAAAACAATGCAATCATTCAGTGAATAACAATTAAAATTCTTGAATAACAACTTGATCAATAAAACCTTTAAGTGACAATGGCAAGAGCTGAAGTTATCAATTACCCAATAATGATTTTTAACTAAATGCTTTGACACAATATGACAATGAATGTTTAAAACAATGTGATCACTCTATCAGTAAGGATTAACTACTATGAACAATGTACAAATTAAATTACTGCTTAATCAAATATGATATTACTAATTGGTAAAAAATGAATCTTGAATGGAATTTTTTTTAAAAGTTATTAAATGGAAAATTTAAATTAAAAATTGTTACGGGCTCTTGTCATGAAAACAATTATTTGAAACTAACTATAATTAGTTAATAATTATGTTAGTTAACTAATTTTAAAGGTAATTAGAGTATGGGTTTTGGTGATTCTGTATTTTTTATTAAGCATTTATGAAATATTTTGCTCATATCAACTTATTTTTTAGATATTTTTGCTGGAGATTTATGATATCTAAGTATTTAAAAATTAGATATTTATTTTTTTAAAGAAGTACTCCATTAGTATTTAAACTTAAAAGTGGAAAATATTTAAGAGAAAATAAAATATTCTTTTATTTGGTTCTATTTAAACTAAAACTATTTAAAATAGCCATGTAAAACTATTTGCGTCAAAAAAATTAAAGACTATTTATAAAAACAGCGACTAAAATAGGAAATTTTAATTTGACTTCTTTTAAATGAAAAATCATTTAGGAAAAAGTCATTTGAAAACCATTTTGAAACCCTGATTCATACAGCAAAACTTCTTAAAATGCTTAACTTCTTAGATTTTATTTAATTTTATTTTATTTTAGAAATGAGGGAATGGTAAATGTGAACCATTTAACCTGATTTGATATATTCTAATGGATTCTGCAAGCTTAATTTCAGCAAATTAAGATTATAACGGACTGCAATTATTCTACATTTTTAGTTGTAAATCACTGACATTGTAATTGAAACATTTTATTCTGTTTTCATTTAGGAATGATAATATGTTGTTAGAAAAAATGATACAATACACTACAAAGTTTTAAAAAAAATCTTTATAACTATATTTATATATTTTTATAAACAAGAAGGTGAATATAAATTGGTTTTCTGAATTATATATTTCAATATTCTGCAATAACAAATACAAAATTTATAAACGTATTGTTTACTTTAAGAGAATATTGTTTTTCATATTTTAATTGAACTATTATGCTAAAATATGAGATTTTATTACATAAAAAGAACAAAAACTGAAAAACAATAGAACAATTTTATAACATATAAACAATTTTGTAAATTTTTTACATTTTAAAAAACATTTTCAAGTCAGAACATATGTATAAGTCATAAGACAAGCAGAAAGTTCACTGCTTGCATTTAAATAACTTTTTTTATGGGTATGATCTTATCTGTAGTTATAATCAAATTTATCTACCAATAAAATTTATTATTATTATTTAACCATAATTGATTTATATCGCTACAGTCTTAATAAAAAATTTAAATTTGACTTACATTCTTATCCAACGTGAAAATAAGTACTGAATATAATTTTAATATTGAAGATATCGAATATACAATCCCTAATTTCCACCTCCCTTTATTCTGATAAACATAGTTTTTGATAAGAGAAATATCAGCTTTCGATTGTGTCTACGTGTGGAGATAATTCCACCTTATTAATACTTGTAAAAACTTATTTTTAAACAATCAGTATATATCTAGCACTTTTCCTAAAATTGTCCTGTGTGTTTTACACTTTCCCAACATTCCATAGAAAAAAATTTATTTTTAGAATTATATTGTTTAAATTCAGTGTTTCCAATTAAATATATTAAATTATACGAAATGATTGAAATAAAATGATCTAAGTCGCAAATTTAATTAAAAATTCATTTAATTCTAACTATTCAAATTATAAATTAGTATTTGATTCGTAACAATGTTAATACTAGAATTCGATAACTTTATTAGAATACAAGTCGAAGTCGGCATAAAACATTGAAATTCCGACTCTTTATACTCGTAAAAACTTATTTTTAAGCATTCAGAAACATTAAAAACATCTTCGAAAAAAACTGAGAACTTTTTTACAACGCAACTCTAAAAGTTCATATTCAAAATTTGTTTTGAAGGATCTTTTTGAAAGATAATTTTCTTTTAACAGGAAGTATTGCGTGTATTTTCGATTTGATTACACGTGACTCAACTTTCTAGTAACAGAGTAAGAAATGACAGTTTGTTCTTAAAGTTTCAGTTCAGCTTATACTCTAAGTTTTTAAACTTAACATGTATTAATCACTTAGGTAAAGAATTTTAAGGTGAAATTTAAATTTTGAAAAATATGTTCTCATTTCCATGGATAAAACTTTGCTGTGAATTGACATTAAGGTTTCAAGCGGTTCTTCACAGACGTTCTTTATGGCAAATTAAATAAAATGAAGATATAACCATTTAAAACACTTCGCACTCACACATCTATACACACAGATGCATTTAAAAATGTTAAATGCATGCAAACATAATATCTTCTTCTTTTTCAGCACGACAGCCCCTTACAGGCTTTGGCTGCCTCAACCACGCGTAGCCTCCAACGCCCCCTATCCCAGGCGACTTTTTTCCAGTTGTTAATCTTTAAAACTTTGAGATCTTTATCAGTGTCATCCAGCCATCTTGTTCGAGGTCTTTCTCCGGCCCGAGATCCAGAAGAATTTTTAAAGGTGGCGAATCGTACTGAAACTCTATGACTTTTTGGTCCATATGGGGCTTTGCGGGAATACTTTACTTTTTTTATACGTACAGAAAACATCATTTCTCACTCTTAGGTTAAAACTAATTACAAATTAATGAGATTTCTTCATTCCAAATGAATGAAAAATTATTTTAAACTTTCAAAACAATTTTTGTTTGTTTTAGGCATTGGCTGAACACAAAGACTGTAAGACGCAATCTGACTGTGGAGAAGATGAATGTTGTCTTAATAATTTGTTTTTTAAGCGTCCACACTGCTACCCAAGATACGGCGCAGGTATCTGACATACTCTTTTTTCTAAATAATTCTTCAGTAAACCATTGTTTTAATTTCTCATTTTTATTCTTTGCAATTTAAAACTTTAATACCATAACCTACAAAATAAATAATAAAGGGAGTCTTAATAATTTGGTAATAAATAAAAAAGGTAAACAAAACGGCAAATGACGGGCAGTGAGCAAAATAAAAAAAATGGACCACCCAGAATAAATTTGATCTAATGGTCGGATCTTCACTTTATAGGACTCAATCTTAATGGTTCGAGGGGGTGATATCAAACACACTAATTAATTAGTGCAGATGATATTTTAAGTTAAGATATCAGACACAAAAACGTCTCTGAATAAACATATTTTTTTAACTTATTTGGATTTTTGATCCCCAAAAATATGGTGTTGCCCCAATCTGGGAAATATGGTCCCAATAGTTAGTTTAGGAGATACTTTCTCTGAATAAACATAACTTTTTCTCGACGGATTCGGATTTCTAACACCCAAAATATGGGGAGAGTAGCCAGGAAATATGGTCAATCTGAGAAATATGGTCAGACTAGTTAGGTCCAGAAAGCAGTTCAAAGTTTGGACCCTTTAATGTTAATATTACTTTTTGCATATTTCACCATATCTCGATAATTTTTAAACGAATTGAAGTAAAGTTTTCGCACACAAATATAAAATTCATTTAGCTAGAGATAATTCCATGCAAATAAATAATAATGATAATAATAATAATAATAATAATAATGATAATAATAATAATAATAATGATAATAATAATAACAATAACTTTTTATAAAAATTTACAATTTTTGATTATTTTATTTAATATTACTCAAAAACAGTTTGAGTTGTAAGGTATACAATTTTTTACATTATTTTAAAGAATATAATTTTACATCACAAAATTTGATCAAATTAAATAAAATCAAGAATCAAATCAGGGATTCTAACCACATATATGCACCAGAATTTGAATTATGGGCTGCATCAAATGAATCATACTTTATACATTGGAATCTACAGATTTTATGCAAAACAGATCTTAGAATCCAATCCCCAATTTGAATTTAAGAGCTTGAAATTTAAATTTATTCAACGTATTAAACTATATCCTATCTTCATTCGGATTCAGTAAAACTTCTGGGAATTCTATACTCTGCGGAATTTTAAGCTCATGAAAATTACGGATGTTTTTTAGCATGTTCTCATGTTCAAACATGAATTCTTTTTTGCAGGTAAGCGTTGTATAACTTTATCAAGGTATGACGAAGACAAGGATCAATTTTTAGTATCATGTCCTTGTGTTAAAGGTCACGAATGTAAAGGTGAAGAAGTAGAAGAAGATGGAGTAAGTATAGAACTATCTTAATCTAGATTCAACTATTAGATCCAACGATTAGATCTAGACCAAGCTAAATCACTGGCTTAAGATTTGACTTACCTGGTTTTGACTGGCTTGAGAGCAGACTTGGGAGTTCATACAAATTCAATAATGATGATCCAAAGCATTTTATTTTAGTGCTTTTTTAACTGTTCAATATTTCTCTCATAAGGTGAAATCTTCTCAATAAGATGCTAAAAAAACTTAGCATTTTTCTGTAACTAGACATGTAAAGTATCATAACTAAGTCTCAAACATCAACATTACGGGTAATCAAATTCTTTTATAACCCGCTAAATTTGATCTGAAGAACACCGATAAATTGGTATTTTTCAGTATTGGTATTTAGTAAACAAGATTCATTGGTATTTCTTAAATTTTCAGAAATATCATTGAAGGACTAACTACTATCCGGCTATCCCGAGAACTACTCGAGGCACCGGACTTGCGTGCTGGTGGTTTCCGCGGTTACGATCATAAGTCTTTGAAAATAGGAATGTGGGGTTAACCATTTTGCGCTGGGATAACAACATAATCTCCCATTGATTACTCTTGTTTTGAGAGTAACATACAATCTCAGACTTTTCTTCGGGATGTGTTCTCGTTACAGCTGGACAATAGAAATACTTATTTTGAATTATTTTTTAAAACTTGACAATACGTTGAAAGAAAGTAAAGAAAACTATACTAGAGCAATAACTAGAACTATATGTTTAGCTTTATGATCACGTTATAATGATTGGATTCTTGCGAGCAACGTCACGTGTGGGTCAGACAATCAGGCTCGTCGCTTGCGGGTATCCAACTAAGCCTGGTCCGAGAATTTTTTCGTCTTGATATTTAACCAGAGTCTTAAGGCTGTAATGTTAACACGACACGCACAACCACATTATTAGATACAACAATGTGATTAGTTGCAAGTGCCTTAACTGTGTGTGTTGAAAACTCTAAGTGATGTATGTTAAATAACTAAACATGGTATTAAATTACTACATTTGTCTAAAAACTTGTATTAAAATACTTTGTAATTTATATAGTATTTAATGTATTGAGAAAAGTAAATAATTGTATTTTTAGTTTGTTTTTATGAATAAAGCTTTTATTTTATTTTTTAGTATACCATTGTGAAGAATCCAAAATGCGTCTAAAAAGCAATTTAAGAACCAGGAAGAAATAGAAGATTTTTTCCAAATCATTCTGCAAAATTTTAGCTCTTATAGAGATTATTTTACATGGAACCATCTATATTCTCAAATGGAATGTAAAATTTTATGAAATACAATTTTTTTTTTGAAAAAAATCTGTATTTATTTTCTGCAATTTTTTATACATTTGTTAACTGCATACACTGATGATATCATATTTTAATAAAATTTTATGATCATGTGATAAATTCCACCTGACCGTTTCAAAAAAGAGGTGACACCAATTTCGCATTTTTATTACTTTGTGTGCATGTTGAAACACAAAGTGATGCATATAACTTATTCAAAAGTTTTGCTTAGAATAAGAACACTTAATGAGGTCTCCACCATCACCATATTGGATTTTAGGTACAGTTTGTCTAAAGTAAGAACTCCCCAAGCCATTCGTCTGGATCCGTGGCGGTGACTGTGATAACGAGGTATACCTATTTCAAGTAGGGGTGTTAGGTCGGAGAAAAAAAGAAAATCCATTTAAATGAAGTTAAGTCCAAATTTCGCACTTCAAAATTTTAGAGTGTTTTTTTAGGATTAGCCTCTATTTTCATTCAACTCAGTTTTTTTCATATCCGTCGTTGAACAGTCGACCTAATTTTGGGTTTATGACTACTAATGTTCAACTCCTTAGCCTTGTAATTTTGAACCCAATCCAGAAGACAAAGGAACTCCTGGATCGAGTTTTGGAGAGTTTCGTCTTCGTGGAGAACTTTTTGATGGAGCTAACCCGCATTTGCGTTACACAGGATTTGATTTGCGTAACACGGGATTTGAGACCACCAAAACTTCCCACCGATAGCCTGACGGCAAGGGGACTGCTCATGATCTGTCCACCACTGAGGATATTTTACGTCAGCACTGGGATTGGTGTGAGTCGGGTGCGGAATTCGTATTGACCAGCTATCACTAGGATTCGAACCCGGTTCCATTGTGAAGTAAACATTATATACTCGGAGCCACTCAGCTCAACTGGTGTCTTTCGTATTTTCTCTGTTTATTTTAAGCGAAATATAATTTTTAGATACATTAGGGACCTCCTTAGCCGAGTGGTTTCGACCATCAAACGCTCTGTAGCGTGAAGGTATCTGATTTGAATTCAGCCTTAACTCTGGATAATGTGCGTGCAATCTTTCTCTGAATTGTGCTTTCTCTCCTTCTATTCGGCAATAAAAAATTTCAAAATAAGCATGTGGCCAAACACTAGGTAAGGATATCATATATATAGCTTCGTTTCGTATTGTCTAGCGTTATAGCAATTTTACAGGTTTATAAATATTTTGATACAGCGAATGAATAAAAGAAGAAAAGGAAGTGAGAAGGGGAAGAAATAAATCAGTTTCTTAAGCAAATAAAAAAAATATATAAATATTTTTTTTTTATGTGGAAGTCAACAACTATAATTTTTATAAATATCTTACTAAGAGTACTGGCGCGGTCAAATATCTCGGGAAATTCTCACCGGGCAACAAAAAAAAAAAAAAAAAAAAAAAAAAAAAAAAAAAAAAAANAAAAAAAAAAAAGACTTAAAATGCCCATGCGAAATATTTTCAAAAGATGCATTTAATAAAAATAAACTCAACATCCCGTCTCCCCTCTGGGTTTTGAGTGGGAGCAAACGAAAATAAGAAGCTCCACTGATTTGTCTTTTTTTTAAAAGAAAATATTCCAATTTGACATCAAACTTGAAAAAAGAAATTTACATATCGGCACACAGATGGCACTGTAATCGCAAAATGAAAGTGGGATATAAAATTTAAAGATGACGATGTCTCGAGAAATGCGTGTTATATAGAAAATATAAAAATAGACGAGTTTGATGTCTTGAAAAATTTATCGTAGGACTCTAAACTTGATATGTACCAGCCTCCTGAACTTGGCATTACACCTGGAAATCGCTCTGGAGTCATTTTTCTATAAAAGTTATTGTTATTTTTCGATGTGGCAGGAATATCTCTAGATAGCTACATTTTGCGCACTTTGTTCAACCTCTTTTTCATCTGCGCACCAAAAAGCAATAAACTTTAGGTCAAATTGGATTTGTTTCCCCCATCCTTGGAAAATCCATATCTGCAAACAAAAAGGGAGGGGCCTGTTTAATCATAAGAATGTTTAATCATTTCAAACCTTGGAGGTCAGTGCATCAATCTGTGCATGCAGTGCGATTTGTGTACCATAAGACAATAACCTTAAGGTCAAATAGGGTTTCTTTTTCCCCCGGAAAATCCAAAGCCGTTTTAAAAAAGGAAAGTTCCTATTCAATCATAAAAATGTTTAATCATTTCAAACTTAGAAGACCTGTTTATACACTTGTGTACCAAAAAATAATAACCTAAAGATCAAATTGATTTTTCTTTTTTTTCTCATGGAGAATTCAAATCTGCTATTAAAAAGGGAGGTTTTAATTTAATAACTTTGAAGGGGATAGCCTGGCTAGCAGGGCGCAGGACTCACGCTCGTTAGAACTGGAGGTCAAATCCAGCCGGCCGAAGACTCCCCGCGTCGTAAATGGTGACTGGTGCACGTTAAATGTATATGGTTACAATGTAATCCACGTTCCCATAACAAATTATACCCATAACAAGTAATTACCAGGTTACTTAACAGAGTAGACGTAAGTATAATAGCCCTTTTAAATACTTAACAGAGTAAACAAATGTATAATGCATAAGTTCTTTTAAATACAGTACAGAACCCGTTATCCACAAATCAGGAAACCGGAAAACCAAATAACCGGAACGAAATTCGATAAATTTTCCCGCCATTTTTTAAAAAAATGTTTTTTTCCTCATAAGATCTTAGGATTTTTCTTTCTTTTTTGAAAGTGCTTACCTTACCATCATTTTGGAAATAATCACTAGTGTATTCCTTCATCGTTTTTTCTTCTTTTTAAGATTATTTCAAAATATTTTTTTTTGTTTGGTTTAACAAGAAAAAAGCAGCATTTTATAGCGATTCAGAAAACCGGAAAAATCAGTTATCCGGAATAGCGATGGTCCCGATCGTTCCGGATAATCGGTTCCTTACTACTTAACAGAGTAAACAGACGTAACACGCATGAGCGTGACACCTATTACTCTTACGTGTTGAACGATAAGTAAATTCAAAGATTATATTTTAAAATATATGTATCAAAAAAAGAACGTACAATTAAACATCATTTTAATGTTGATAATTTTTTATCATAAATTCGGAGAAATAATAAAATTCGGAGAAAAGAATAAGAATAAAACATTTTGTACAACTTACTTGTCATGCCACAATAAGCTTTACATATTTCCTGGCTTTTAAAATTTCTTTAATTTCTTAAACTTATTTTTTTAATCATTCTTCATCTAGTTTTTATTAGATTAAACCAATTATTTATTTTTTATTACATTTTATTAAAACGAATATAAAATATTTTATTATTTTCTTAACACTCAATGTAACGGCTAACTTTGACTATACTATGAGTAACAATACTAATGTTACTCATTAATTCACTGTCTCGACTATATCAGAAGCAAAAATCTATTTATAATTCTTTATTCTTCATTTCTTACAACAAAAATGTTTCAGTTACAGGGTTATACTAATTCTCACTGTCTTTTTGGCGATTCGCTTTCGCCAAATTATTTTCAAATTTAATATTGATTATCGGGGGTTGGCTTATTTTTGCTATGTTATCTTTCGATAATTCGCCACCAATGTATCTCTTCCCATGCTCCTAACTGTCCGCTTTGAGCAATTCATTTACTTTTAATAATTTAGAATTATTGGCGATTTGGACTGGGGTCCAACTGTTGATTAGATATCTCGACATAATATTCTCGATGTGAAAAGTATAATTTTCTTGATCCCTTTAAGATACTTCTTTTCTTTATTTTAATAATATTTAAATGTGACCGTATTCTATTTAATATTTACTTAATAAATCAATTTTTTCTAAACGATTTTATTCATTTTTCTGGCATAAATTTCACTGCATCAGATCCAAATTGAAGTTTATCTGAAACGGCCAAAAATATGCATAATCCTTTGCTTACGGTGTGCCATGTTATACCACCACATATGATCCACATATTGTCCCCGCCGAAAGCAGAAGGTTAATGCTACAATGATGCTACCTCAACTAACCACTAATTCGGACTAACTTCCCTATCATAATATGATATCATTTTCGAACGTTTCGTGACTTTAATTTTTATTAAAAAGGAATAAGGAAAGAAAAAAAAATCGTTTTAGTATTATTCTTGTATTATTTTTTCGTTGTTGTTGTTGATGTGTGGTATTAGTAAATATTCTTCTTTTTTTTTGTCTATATACATATTGAATAATTTTTTAACATCTTTATTGATTTACATAAACGCATATGAAACGTTTTGAATTGGAAGGGCAATAATTAAAAACAAAAATATACCATAAACCTCTTAAATATTTTAATCCATACTATTCTTGAATTTGTCAAATTTAACGAATCATTATGAGGAAGTAAATTTCTAACAAACAAAAATGCATATGGAACAAGGATTTGACCCAGTTTAATATATCTCAACAGCAAGTTGAAACTGAAACCCAAAACTACCCTCCAACTGCATCAGAGACTGAACATTCTCTTTCTCAGAAATCGTCTCAAGAAAGTACGGAGTTGCTAAATGAAAATAATCAAAATTCTCCGGCTCTAAGACGCTCTGAAAGAATAAAAAATAAATTGTCCGCGAACGCGAGCTTAGCCTTGAAAGGATCATCTGTTCCTTAAAATTATAACCATGCGATAAATAACAATAAATATTCGGGGTGGAAAATCTTAATGGAAAATAAACTTCTTCCGATGAAGAAGCATAAAGTTTTCGAATTAATTGATAGGCCTAATAATGAAAAAATAATAAAAAGTAATTTAATAAAAAATGTCGATATCATAAAGTTCACAAACCTCGACTGTTTGCAGATGGGTTCAATTAAATAAAAAATTTTGATTATTCTGAATCATAATCACCTGTGGTAAATATTGAATCATTCAGGCTATTAATTGCGTCAGCAACAAAATTGTACTTATTTGTAAATTTTTTTTATATTAAAACTGCATGTGTATATGGTGATATTGATGAAACTAAATATCTAGAAGTACCTCCAGCTTTTTGTAGATAAGTATGGTTAGCAAAAATAAGAGTATTTATGGTCTACCTCAAAAAATTGATGTAAAGAAAATTGGCATATGAAGTAAATATGGTAGAAATTGGCAAATGAAGTAAAAAAAATGAACTTAAAAAGATTAGCCTTACTCAATTTGCATCTGACAATTGCGTATTTACTGAAATTACTGATAAAAACTTTTTTCTCAATTTGTGTATATGTGGATGATTTGGAAATATTTTCTAATGATTCGAAATTATATAAGGATATCTTTTAAAAACTTAATCAAACATTTAAATTAACCCTTTAACGGGCCATTTATTTCTAGTAAAATTAAATTAAAGTATTTTTGAAATTGAAATTGTTATAAGAATAATAATTGATATAAGAAGGAAAAAAAACTAATTTTTAAAAAAAATGTCATTTTTTGGTGGTAAGTAAATTTAACACGACCTATTAGGAACTTATTGACTTTTATTTTTCTTTATTTAAAAAATAAATTTTATAAATGCTGATATGTTCAAAAGGAATTATATATTTTATAATTTTTAGACATTTTTTTAAATTTACAAATGGCTGCCAATTTTATTCAAACGTACTTCAAAAAAGCTGAAGTTATTAGCAAATGGAAACCTAAATTAAAAGTGGTAAAGAAGTTCACCATAGACTTTAAAAAGTATACTTACCACGGCTTTAGAAAGGGTTAAGAGAAACAACTAATGGTTCAAAATTTTTAGGTTATTAAGATTTCGCAAAAAAAGGTGGAATTGGTTTATGTCAAACTCATTACATTGAATCTTTAATGAAAAAAATATGATTTGAAAAAATGTAAGGAAACAAATAACCCCCAATAACTAAAGGTGAAAATAGATATTTTAATCTTACTGATGATTTAGAAAATCAGACTGATTATATGGAAATCGTCGGTGACCTTTTATATGTAGCAAATAGAACCCGACCAAATTATGTTTTTCTAAATAGTTATTTATTACAATTTAATAAACGACCCGAAAAAAGACATTATGTTTCGGGATAAAAAATTTAAATATTTGAACGGTTTAAAAGATAGGATCGTTTTTTATAGTAAAGAATTCGATTTCTTTTTCTTAAGCCCGCAGATGAGTTGCGGCAACACAGAAGGAGGAAAATATTTTCTGTAATTATAATAGGTATTAAATACATTATTTATATTTTATCTCCATTATATTTTTTCTTGACATTTTATTTCCCCCCCCCCAAAAAAAATTTTTTTTTTGATATTATACTCTTGATATAAAAAATTATTTTAGCGTGAAATATGTTTAGTTAATCAAGAAATTTTTTAAAATTATTTTTGTAGCAAAATTTGTTTTAGAAATATTGTGAAAGAATCAAAAAGCGATAAATAACATGGTGGGTTCCAAATTTCCATCTGGCCATCTGACGAAACGTGTTGAAAAGTATTTTTCAAATTGCGGCTAGCCCACACGATTTGGGTATTAAGAATCCAAATTCCTTGAAAATAAAATGTTTATTTGCTTATTTGAAAATATAAAAGTACATTTTTGTGTTTGATTTTATAACTTAAATGATTTCTCGGATTCACTAATTGTATCTTATACAGCCAGAATTTAGAACCGGAACTTAAAAATTTTTCAAAGTGTTACGATTTTTTATTTTCATTTTTTTTTTCCGCACTGAACATTAGACTGATAAGTTTTAAATGGGATTTATTTCATCCAAATGTAAGTCGTGCCATGCGCTTATCATATTTAGGAATTCTTTTTCTTTAAGTAAAAACAGAAAAGCATCACTCATCCTAATTTGAAAATTAAAATAAAAAAATTATAATCACCGTTTTGAAAATAGGATTTTGTCCAGTTTCAGTGAGTTAATTATCGCCTAATTTACGAAGAGAAAAATTTATCAAAAATTTTTTTTAAGAATTATTTACTCCCAATTATTAACCAAGTTTAAAAACCGTAAAAAAAAGTAAAAAAGTTTTTTTTTCTTTAAAATTTAAGCAAATTAAGTATGCCACGTGTTGTTAATCTCTTAAAGATTTCTGAGAAAAACAGTTAGTAATAGATGCTGAGTGGATGTTGTGACCTATTTGATAACAAGCTGACCTTTTGCCGTTCTAGCAAATTAATTTTTCTTTTTATTTAAGCATCAGATGACCCTTTAAACATTTAAAATGTAAGATCGCGTTATTGTTTATTATTCTTGCTAATCTCTTTATTTTATCTGTTAACTCTATCTTTTGAGTTGTTTATTCAAACTATCTTCATTTAAAATCATTCCGGACTCATTTTTGTTTCAGATCCGAATGTGGAGTACGGAACTATGTTTAATTTTCGAAGTATTCTCTTTATTTTCATCGTCGTCACTTTATTAGCCTCCTATGAATGTCGGAAAAAGAAAAAACCATGTGACCGTCCCAGTCGACATCGTAAATGCCCGAAACCACCACCATGCATTTGCAATAATGAAACAACCATAGATCCTACTATTACAACAATGTTGCCGACGACTTTGCCAGGTGATGAAACAACTGTTTTCGTCTTTCCTGAAGCGGACCAGTTTTCGAGGACTCATTCTAGTAGCGAAGAAAGTCATGAAAGTAGTGAAGAGAATGAAAGATGCAGACCTCGGGGACACCACCACCATCATGGACACCGCGATCAAGGAGGTAATCATAGTGAACATGAACATGGTAGTGGCCATGGTTCCGACCACATTCAGTCAGGTCACGATCACGGGGATACTCGTGGACAGGATCATGGTTATGCTCACCGTGAACATGGAAGTGGGCATAACTTCAACCCAATTGATACTGGTAGTGGTCATGGTCAAAATCATGGTCATGATCATGACCATGGACACAGTTTCAGCGAAAATGGCAGTGGGCATAGCCAGAGCAATAGAGAAAGACACGAGAACCATCATCATGACCACGATCATGGACGTAGTCGTAATGAAAATGACATTGATCACGGACATAGTGAGGAACATGAACATCACCATCATGATCACAATCATGGACATAATCATAATGAAAGTAACAGTGCTCATGGACATAACAATAGCGGGGGACATGAACACCACCATCACGATCACGGACATAATCACAATGAAAACGGCAGTGGGGACAGGCGAGATAATAGTGAGAGACATGATCACCATCATCATGATCATAGTCATGAAGAGCATGGCGAGCATGGTAGTGGACACGGACGATTTGATGATAATTCGCACGATCTTGATCATCATCACCACCACCACCACCATCATCATCATCGGCGTTGTAAGCCACCTCCACCTTGCATCTGTCCTGGTGATAATCAAGAACAAACAGTTGTATAGTCATAATGTTTATTTCACAGCGACAAAACCGCATAAAATATATTGAAACTAGGTTTTGATACAGATTTCTTTTAAATGCTAGTGCAGAATGTAAAATATAATTCAAATGAATCTATAGTTTACAGATAGATGATTGTTTTTGTCTTATGAATGTGTTTGAATTATATATTCCTATTTTATCTACATAAAATTAAATTTATATCCTCTTAAGTCTGCTCTTTATGGGAATAACCCTTTTCAAACAATTATGTATCCTGTTTTTGAATCTTATTAATCTATTTATAGTCAATGAAAGGCATTTTGATTTCATAAGCCACACTGGTTCTGGGTAACAGGAATTTCTTACAATGAATCAAATTCAACGAATTCTTGCCTCTTTTTATACCTAAAATATAAACAACTTTCGTGAAAGTGAGAAGTTTCATTAAAAGGTTCAAAATAATTGAAATAAATTACAATTTTCTCAATAAGCGTAAATGCACACCTAAGAAGCATTAAAAAAATTAAGTGATGTTAATATTATAGATAGTTTTTGTATTGATTTAATATATATTTATATTTTAAACATGTTTTGATTGACACTGCCGACATATGCAACTTTAGGATCTTTCTTTTTTTTTCTCACTGATGCAATAGTTATTTGTCTTAGTTTTGAGCTTACTTTTTATATTCAGTAGGTCTTGGTAAGAACTTTTTACTCGTTTAATATTTATTTAAGCGATTCTTTCACCCAAACTGATATTTCAGGTAAGAATTACTGCACTTTATAAAAGCAATATTTGCAACAGAAAAAAAATATATTCTAATCTCTTTCAAAAACACTTTAATTCCATTTACAAAATTATTTACGGCTAAAATTGCATATATATCATGCCATAACTAATATTTGTATTGTTATCTACGAGCATATTCCTTTTTTTTACGCAAGGATTATCATATCACGTGATATTTAGTAAAAATTCCAAACATTTCTAGTTTTACTATCGAAAATTTGAATGATATTTTAGTACACATGTACGCAGATTTACCTTAGACTTATATTCTGAAAAGTTTGAAATTGAGAAGCTAAAACTTGCAGAAGGCCATCTTGTCGAAGCTCATTCCGCGCATGTCAACTATTACCAAAAAAAAAAANAAAAAAAAAAAAAAAAAAAAAAAAAAAAAAAAAAAAAAAAAGAAGCTAAATTATAATTTTGTGAAGGAATCTAAGTTAGAGTGAAAATGTTGACCACAGATTTTATGAGCATAATTGTATGACGAATTCTGTTTTAGCTTTGTTTCTTTTTTTAAAAAGAACCTCAATATCTCCTAACATTATTTTGCTACAATTTATTCTTTTTTTCCCCCTTTTTTTTTTAAAAAAAAAGCATTTAAAGTAATAAGTTCGTGATTTACTGCAAATTGCAAATTTTCAGGAGGATGTCTTTTCTTTGTTTTTTTCTTTCTCTTTAGGCTCTTTTCAAAACTCATATAAAGCTGATAGAAACCAGAAGAAAGCATATTCAATATATTTTTAAAGGTTGCAAGTTTTAAATGAAAAGCAAAAAAGAGCTCAAGTGGCTTTAAACGTCTTAAGGAAAAAGAAAGGAAAAGAAAAATTTTTATTTATATTTGAACGTACTAATTCTACAGGATTATTGTTTTGCTTTTATTTTTTAAAAAAAATCAACAACTTGTGATTTTGAATTTATTTGCTTAATCTTAATTATTATTATTATATTTATTAAAATAAATAATCTTTTTCCCTCATCAAATTATGATGATGCCTTCATAGTATAATATACAAACATAGCGGAACTGTGAAGAATTCCAGATGAAATTACAGTATAAATTTAAAACAAAACATACAACTGGCAAAACGAAACAGCGCTCAAAATATTTATCGGATCGGAAAATAAAACGTAGTTTTTTTTTATATTTAGTTCATAAAGTGTAAACAGCTTTTAATTAATTTGTTCATTCAGTTAGTTCATAAAGTGTAAACAGGTATTAATTAATTTGTTCATTCAGTTAGTTCATAAAGTGTAAACAGGTTTTAATAAATATGACAATATATTAAGTTTAGTACTGTGAAAATTACAGACGAAGAAAACTAAATTTTAAAAAAAAAGTTATAGAAACACATGAAATTTTTAATACCTGAAAACCAATATTAAATCAATGAAATGCATTATTTTTTTAAAATCTGCTGTAACAAACTTAGCAGATAAAATCGTAAAATAAAGAATAATTAACTAATGATTCTAATTTAAATTGGAAATATTTTAAATCACTAAAAAAGAAAAGAAAACGCGAAAGAGTGGAGAAAGTAGGATTTAATAACTTATTTCAAAGAAAAAAAATCAATACTAATCTGAAAAGTTCATATAATCTTATACTAATTAAAAGAAAAACAATTTTATGTTTTTGTATTTTTGAAAACAAAAATGGCATTACTATTATATATATATATATAAAGTGAGAGATAAAACAAGGAAAAAGATATAAAGTTTTTAAATGNTATATATATATATGTGTGTGTAGCAGAATAAAGACAAAATGAATAAGAAGAAGAGTGAGAAAAACGAAGAAAATTAAGAAAAATAATAAGTTTCATTTACTGCGTATAAACTGCAAGTATATAATACTAAAAAAAAATATATATTTTTTTTTACTTGCATTTTATTTTTTAGTTTTTTGCTTGATATGTTTCATTTCGTTTTTTTTTTTTTTTTTTTACTTAATCGTGCTCTACAATATTTTCATTTCAATTTTTTCGGGTGCTCCTCACACCATTGTATTGATATATTTTTCATTCGCTATATTACTGCAACATTGAAAAACGCTAACTTTTGCCAATATAATCGTGTGGGCTGATGGCGTGATTTTATCTTTTCATTATTTTGCTTTCCGGCTTTTTTAATATTTCTTTTTATAAATAAAAAGTTTTTTTAAAATATCTTTAAAAACATTTTATTTTATTACTTTTCCTCTTTCCATTAATTTTTTATCATAATATATATATATATAATATTCGATTGAGCGAAAATCTAGGAAAACCCATGCAGATTCCGATTCAGCGTCTCGCTGAAAAAACAATTGCAAAAACTGACCATTACTGACTTGCGGAATAAAAAAAAGGTTTATTTGAATAATTATTAGCACAGTTCTTTGAAGTAGCACCAGCTGACCTTATTGAGTCTACAACAATGCAGGTACGATTCCTGAATGCGATTGAAGATGCTTAGAAGTTGTACTTTTGATGTTTGCTGAAGACTATCTTATGCTATGACTATTCAAGACTGGCTTCCACTTTCAGCCCCCCTTAGATTGAAAAACCTGCTTAATTTTTCGCAATTTTTACTCTCTCAACGAGTTCGCGATTTCATATTCTATGGCAAATTTTCCATAGAACACGAGATAAAAGAAATCGTAATATCTTTTACTCCTGCTTTGAATGTTTCGGTTGACTATCGGACCAACCCGAATTTGTATTATAAAGGTACATATTTTGAAACTTATTATAAAAACTCACAAATAGAGATTTTTTTTTCTTTTTTTAAACAGTAAATTTTCTTGTAAATTCTTGGTTCCCACTGATTAAATTAATAATGAAACAATTTTGCTATCACTTTCTTTCTTCTGAAAATATAATATGAAATTTTTAAAATACCGTCGGAGCGAGAGTAAATAAATTAGTAGTAGAAGTACTTAATTTACATCACATTACAACATTACAATTTAATTTCTCTGCAGAGGGGGTGGCAAGACTGCTCTGGTTAGCATGACGACATGCGCGTAAGGATGAGCACTTTACGATAGAACAGATTAATAAGAACTGTGACCGCACGCTCTTTGTATCTTTACAAACTGATCTACCATATCGATGGACAAAGTGTCACCAGTGAAGCAATGCACTATGGGCACAAATATTTAGCACTGTTAGCGCATGCCTGAATTGCATAAGCGTGTGATCGCATATGCGAATCGCATGCGATTAAAATATTCTTGCTCTCTTCTGAAAATGCTCTCTTCTGAAAATGAGCTTTTTTTTTTTAAATTTCTAATTTTTTGGTATATGAATTCCAATGGTATTATTGAAATTTTTCTACAAAATATGATAAATACGCTTCGTTATATAAGACCCGATACGTTGATTGATGAAATATTTCGTCTTTATCATTTGCAACCTGTATAATTTAGTTTGCTTCGTAATGATAATCATCCTATAGACGATAGTGTTTCAAAACGTTTCAGCATTTTTTTAAAAAAAGGCAAACTTTTTAACATTTAAAAAATTATAAGCCTTTCACTAATAGGAGGTAAAACACCGAAGTCAAGCATCATAGGCTGCCGTCAGAAAGCAGGTGGGTGACCACTTTGATCAGCCTGCGTCGGGCCCGAGGATGTGCGGTATCGGTCCTCGTTTAACTGTTTTACCGTAAAGTTCGTGCGCAGGTCGTTGGGTTACCAAGACAGGGGAACCATCGCCTATGCAATGGATCTAAATTGTGATGGCCTGTCTTCGGATCATCCTCAGGGATGTTTCCCAGACCATCACCAATTGTCCATTGTGCAGCTCTAGTGTGATGTAAATAAAATACCTACCACAAATATTGTGTTGAGAATGATCCGAAGACATGCCATCACAATTTTGATCCTCAGCAGAGGGGATGGCGCCCCTGCGTCGGTAGCCAGATGACCAGAACGCGAAGTTGAACAGTTTACGATAGAACAGTTTAACGAGGACCAATACCCCACACCCTCGGTCCCTACGCAGACTGATCCAAGTGGTCACCCACCCTCACATTGACCGCAGCAGTGATGCGGGACTTCGGTGTGCTGGGAACCGTGTCTTAACTATCAGTCCACTGCGGAACCCCTACCACATATTAAAAGCAGTTTTTGGAAAGTTAGGTCAAAGCTAATTCTAAATTGCAGATGAGATCATAAGAAACAGTGTTCGTATACAGAACTTTTGTCAACGGATAAAACTCAACAATTTTTTTAGTATTTATTTTTATGCTTATTAAAACAACAACTGAAAAAACTGAAACAAAGCGTTATTAAATAACCAAGAGCACGGTTTAATATTTTGTCTAAAAATTTACACATTCGTCTTTCACGTTGGTTTGTTTATCAAACGATTACTTTCAAATAATATTTGCTGATATATATTTATAGTTTTTGACAAAGTTATATTTTATCGTATATGTCAAAATTAGTCTTAAATTTCACTCTTTTGTTGAGTAAATAATCACAGTAATAAAACACTAGAGTTTTTGTCGATGCGAAATTTTTCATTTTTAGTGTAGATATATATGCAATGGGTATTCCTGATGAAGAAGGCGTTGATGATATTGAAGATTTAGGACAAGTTAAATTATCAAGTCCTGTAAATAAAGTGAGAAGAAAGAATGAGCCCAAGGAAGAAATTTTTGCAGACAGTATAATACCTGGTAAGTCGTAATGTATACTATTATTATTTAAACTGTATTAAGGAATAAGTTTGAAGTTTTCGCACTTGACTGTTAAAATTTGTGGAAGCTTGTTAATTATTAAATTTTTCTTTACTGGGTTTTCCTAAAAAAGAAGTAATTGGGAAGAGACAATTAGCAGTTGGAATATTTTTGTTATTTATATCCCAAAAAATCTATATAAATTTTGGCTGGCGAAACTGTTTTCCAAGTGTGTGTGCCGAACTGAACGCTTTCATATGCTGTTGTATAACTATGCACTTGATTTTCTCTGCACATTGAGCAGATTTTTTCTTAATGAATCAAATTTCCATGAAATATCACAATTGTGAAATAAAAAACTATGTAGTGTTTAATCTTTGAAAGACATTTTCAAAATCAAAGTAAAACAGAGAGAAACTATAGAGTTAATACAATTCATTTCTTATATCCAGAAACAAATAATGAATAGAAAATTCACTTGCTGGTCTATTTTACAAGGAAAAACTGTAGTAATAAAGAATCAAAATTAAATTAGAAACTATCTTTGATATAATTTATTTTTAGTTTAAGAAAAATAGAAGCTAAAGAAATTAAATTAAAAAAGAAACTAGGAGGCTTCGCCCCCTGCTGGAACTGCTTTCGCAGTTCATTTCGGATAGCTTCGCAATCCGATGCTCGCTTTGCTCGCTCATTGGATACGTTCTTAATGTCTAGCTTTTGTATACTCTTTTGAACACTGAAGTTCCGAAAACTTTTCACTGTAGAAAATTCTAAACCTGTGCTTTTCAATATTAATTTGAAATTGCAAACAGTTCACATATTTTTCTTAATCACACTATTCTAAATTTCAGTTGTTGAGAAAAGTAACTGTTGTAAGTTTTGTTTTAAAGTCTTTCCCACCAG